CTCGTTTTGTACGGAAGCCTCCAACGTCTGCACGTAGTGGAAAGCCAGCGGGAAGCTGAGAAGGCATCCGGTGATGGCTACTGTGCTCAGCACAATGGCTGTGAAAGCGATGACTTTCGACGAAGATTGTTCGCCCATGTTTCACGTCTGACTACTCTGGGGACGAAGACGGTGCCGACTAACACTGGCCGACTATTTATATGAAGCCCGGTTCCGTGTTGGCCCATTTTCGTGCTCTGGTAACTCTGGCGCAACCTGGCTGAAATTTCGCCTGGGTTTTTGTGATTGGCGGGACGAACGACGTGTTTCATACAGAACATGTTGGTTTGTCGTTGTCCGTATTTTGCAGCGTTGCCTGCGGTGTTCACAGACCTACTTTCGAAACACGTCGTCGCAGCCCGTTCTTCGCCACGAGTGCATCCTCTTCACGGTGTCAAACAGTTCAGGGGATCGATCGTGGCATTTGGGAACGAGTTCTGAATTCCTTTTTTCAGTAGCTGTCAAAAAGCGACCTCTTCGAACGCTGCTATATCGGCACTAATGTTGTTCTACAGCAGCGCACCTTACCTTGCCTTCTGAAAGCAGGTGTCAGCAGAACAGTGCCTTCGAAGTATCGCAAACAAGTCGCAGGCAAGCAGCGTGAAGAACGCGCTCGCTAGACTTACTTTAAAATGATCATGCGCATGAAATCACCACAGGATGCAATACGACACAATATCCGTCACTTCTCTGTCACGAATAGCGCAGGTTGCACCATGCCTAAGAGGACATGTTCAAACACCAGAATTGCCGGTTCGATTCGGGGAGGAGCAATCCTTGTTTTAACCAAGGAATTCCCCTAAGCGAGCAATTTTCCTTACATTGTGAGGAGGGTCAGACTCATAATCGATAAATCTCGTGCTCCAAGGTTATGTCACAGACATTTGCTGCTTTTTTGAGGTTGACGAAGGTGTGTCATTCTATGGGAAAGAAATGGGATTTTAGACACCATTTTTACCGTATAACTGCTGTTGATTTTAATTCTAAAATTGAGTACTGCTGGCTGAATGTCGTGGAGATGGAGATCAGCGCTTCCCCATTAGCTTCATGAAAAAAGGGTGCTCAAACTGATTTCATCATGGAAATGTAAGGAAGACCGACATTCTAGCGGTTACAAATTTTCTTTTTCCTCGTTGAGTCAATCATTGAATCAAACGCACATCAATTCTCGCTGAATCACGCTAATACAGAAGTAAAATAAAATATTTAACGGTGGTACGCCCAAAAATAAAGCATATGCTATCCAGGACGGTTTCAGAATCCCAGCATGGTTTTATTCAGTGTTTGAAAATAATAAACAAAATTATTAGGGCAATGATTACCATTTTTGCTGATTCTACAGTTTGCAGCATGAAGTAGTAAAACAGAAAAATTTCTGTATCTTGATTTCTTAATTCATTTTAATTTTGTTTTTCTTCGTCAGTAAATCGAAACCTCAATGGTTCTAAATATAATGAAACAGAAGTATAGTTGTCTTCATTATAACTATCCATATTTCATGCAGATCACTTTAGTCAATTTCAGACAAACACCGTTTGCTCTTGAGCATATGCCATGTTGCTTGGCTGAAACGTCGCAGTTGTTCTAATTTCTAATATGGTCTGTTTCGTCGTGTCTGTAATCAATGAAGTGTCAATATATTATCAATATTTTTTGGTAAAATAGCATATTAACCATATAATTGAGAAAATGACCAGCTTTAGTAGTTCGTGGCTCGGATCGGTAAAAATGTCTGTTTTTCTTAGAGAGTGATACGCTTCAGCTCATCATTGAACATCATTCGTTACTGTTGTGTTAAGAATCAGTGGTTAAGCCTATGCCTGTGTCTGGTTGTTACTTCCTTGTCCATTTAATCATTATTACTTATTATAGTTCACTTTTAAACATCTCAGTAAACGAAACTGCAAACCTCCAAAATTTGGCTCATAGTTAAATGTCGATTGGGACATCGTGGTTTTTTTACTACTAGAATAACTAGTTTTGCAAGAGTCTAAATTTTATAAGTTTGTTGAAGAAGCAAGCGGAGGAGGAAGTAGAAAGGGTTATATTTTGTTTTCGGCCAATTTGGCTACAGGGATATGTTTGGGCTAAACGGTCGGCCGACGAGAGCACTACTGGTGCCAGTCGTAAAGTTTCGGTTTTCGAACTTTCTCGTGCCCTAGTTTTCGATATGGCAGTTAGGGAGAACTCTCGCTTCGCGCAAATGCAGAGTCTTTTTTTTCTCGCCGGAACTTTGAACAAACCTGCAAGGAATATCGGTCATTCATCCGAAATGTGCAGCAACACGGATCGCCGACCGGCCACAGAGCCAGTACACCCGGAAAACGAATGCCATGAGGAGATAAAAACACGAACCTCATTGAACGTTTAGCGTCTCAGTCGAAAGAAAGGAAAATATGCAACCGATTTGAATGCTCACCTCCCTCACATGTCGATGAATGGGCGTCACTTACTACATTTTTCGTTTAAAGAAGCATTTGCTGAAGGGCTAGCCTCTGTTTCCGTGCCATGGTGCGAAGGTTTTTTCTGTCCTTTCCTTCTAATACTATATCTACAGCTTAATATCCCCTACGGCCATTTATTTGACTGGAAGTTGAGCAACAACTACAAGATTTGGGTTCATAGCGCCTCTTTCGCATTACTATTAGGACCGTATCAAGAAAAGAAGCTAGTGGTTGTCCAGGCATTCATCTTTAGCTTTTTCAATTGTTCATGATACTAATGAATCGGTGGTAATCGCCCATGTTTTTATTGCTTTCATGTTTTTGATATTAATTTAACATGGTCTCGTATTTAATTAAGTTGTGCATAAGTTATGTTTCAGATGCTCGAGTTTTGATCGAGAAAATGTACCTGTTTTTAACGAACTAACTGGAGAATATCAGATTTGAGTCGTTTCGATAAAGGGAATAGCTTCCATGAAAGAATCATCGACAGCGTTCTTAAATTCTGACAATGACTGTACTTAAAAATATAAGGGACAATTGCTACGCATTCCGTACTGCACAAATTGAAGAAGATGTGAAACAAGTTTGTTCGAAGTCGTTGTGTAGACGTCAGCAATGGTGACTCAGTCAGTCAACTGTCTAATATGAGGGAGGAAGATTATGTTTCTCAGACTGCACCCTCTTGAACCGAGGGTGAACGAGCAAAGCCAAATTACGACATCTCGAAGTACTTTGTACACTACGGTAACAAACAGGATCTGCAGTGGATCACGAAATAATCCACTCACGATACAGTAACCGCCGGCACTGATAGATGTCGGTACTTTTGAAGGAGCTCTTTCATGAAGATGATTCAGAAACCTGGACAAAACGATACAGCGTACTGCTTATGAGTATGAATACTAATTGTTACCGAAAGGATGATAATTTGCACATGACCGAATCTTGTGGCATAGGAGACCAGGTTATTTGCAACAGTGGAAATTTGCCGCTACCACGTCTTTTGTTTCGCAGCCTGGCTTCAATAAACGACTGTCGGACGGCTCATCGTATGTCGTTGTTCATGGCGTCTTGTTGCACTACTACTTTTGTAGAACTGACGACGACTGTTT